TCACAGATAGAGGAGGCCTGCCGAGGTCAAGACGCCCGAACTTTGACAGGGCAAGGGGTCACGGTCCCCGGGGGTTTATCGTGTCCTCTAATTGGATCCAGAACCACGCCTTGGGACGACACGTTACAGCTTGTTGCATCAGCTTGCATGTAAAAAACTGTCACTGACGTCACAAGGGCGATATGCATTTCGAAGACACATTGGACATATCATTTTACTCGTCAGGGGGAAACTCTGCTGGTCTACGCATTTATCTATATATAGTGAACATTCTTTGTCATACGACTGTACTCATCTGAATTATTAAATAAATCATCAATCGTCGAACGTCTTCTCGTCAGACTAGGCATTGACCTTTAAGTTGTGTATTCAAACCTACCATCGCCGACCGTCATTCCTAGCCGCTCGGGAATATTGCACTCCTGCGGGACTGGCCAATCCCCCGGGATACAACAGTAGGATGACATTAAGGTGAGTGATAGATAAGTTGTGAAAATTGCAGCTGGATAGAAGTGATTGATAGGTTGTGAACGTTGGAGGTGGATAGAACTGGCTGAAATGTTGTGATGATTGAAGATGGGTGGATCTTTCTCAGGATTGTGTTCAGTGGTAAGCTTCGGTATTAGTGGTGTTGATCTTCAGATTCATCCACAACAGTTTCTGTAAAATAATTATATAGTAAAATATATGGTAATGTCGTAGGTCAGCAGGTCAGGCAATTACTTGCAGAGGCCCAGGTCTGTTCAGCTGGATTTGGGGTGAATAAAGTGGCACTAGTACAGATTTTTCTTTCACTGGTGTTCCATATTCACTCATACATCATGGGGGGGGGCAGACAGACAAAGGACCCATTAGCAGCTGCAGTTTTATTGGGGATACTAGGAATGACCCGTACTTCAAGTGCCTGAGCACAGCTGGTCCCATCTTTTTTGTTGGCTCGATCTATAGACATTTTAGGTAGGACTCCTTGGACGAGGGATCGGCCCGGCGCAAGGCCTCTACCTGTACACAGGACAGCACAAGACAGAAAAACGCGGACAAACATCCATGGCTTGAGTGGGATTCGAACCCACGGTCCCAGCGACCAAGCGGCACAAGGCCCACGCCTCAGACAGCGCGGCCACTGCGGACCCCAGTTTTGTTGCGACAAAGTCTTAACTTGCCACAACAATAACAATTAAAAGTAAATGTTCAAAGCAATATTATTTTATGTTATATTCTCTTGTGGATTTGTGATACCAGAACTGAATTGTGTTTCACTCTATAGGTTGGATCAGACAAGTTGTTTGCTGGTCTGCTGATCAAGCGTGTAGTGCAACTGGAGCTCATCCAGACAAATGACAACATCGTCTTTTTTCCTGCAACTTCACGGAAGGAAGATCAAGAAAACTTGGCACTTGCTCAGGTAATTATGTTTCACATAGAGAAGAAGAAGAAGAAGAAGAAGTCAGAGAATAGGAAAGAATGGATTACAGATAAGTTACTGATCATGCTGGAGGAAAGACAGAAACTTAAAAACTCTACCAAACCGGAGGATCAGCGGCAGTACAGAATCCTGTTAAAAGAGGTGCTAGACAAGAGAAGGAGAACTATCCCAGAGATATTTGTGGAAAAGTGGAAGAGGACATAAAAAAGGGAAAGATAGAAACAGCATAGAAATGGTGAAAACCTTTTTTGGAAGCTGCAGGTACCCAGGAAATTCAGTAAGAAGTGAAAATGGTGAAATCCTTTATGGCGAGGAACTTGTAACAAAAAGATGGAAAGAGTACATTGAAGAGTTTTATCAAGGAGAGATAAGTGATGAAACAACTATTGAACCAGAAACTGAAGTAGATGATGAACTTGAAGATCGTATAACGGAAGAAGAATTTGAACTAGCATTGAAATCACTGAAAGACAAGAAAGCACCGGGGATTGATGAGATTCTCATCAAGGCGGGAGGAGAGAGACTGGAAAAGAGATTGTACGATCTGATCTGTGATATCTATGTACAAGGGAAAGTATCCGCAGATTTTGAGAAAAGCATCATAGTTCCTATCCCAAAGAAAGCTGGTGCAAGTACATGCGAGCAGTACCGAACACCAAGTCTAGTAACGCCTGCCTCCAAAATTGTTACAACCATTATTCTCGCATGATGGAAAAGAAGATCGAACGTAGACTGACGGAAGACCAGTTTTGATTCTGGAAGGGCAGAGGCAGTTCTAGCTTTGAGATTAATTGTAGAGAAGGACAAGGAAACCTTTATTGCATATGTTGATGTTGAGAAAGCATTCGACAATGTTAAATGGGGGTTGGTGTTTGAAATACTGAGGAAAGCAGGCGTTAACTATAGAGATCGAAGAATAATTTGGGAATTGTATGGGAATGAATGGGCTGTAATCATTCAAGGGAGCCAACAGGAAGAGGCAAAAGTCAACAAAGGGGTGATGCAAGGATGTGCGCTATTTCCTATAATATTTAATGCCCTTGATAAAGTCAGAGATGAAATCACTGTAGGAGTGAAGATACAAGGAGAGACGATAGACATGCTCCGATTTGCAGACGATATTTCAATATTGGCAGAGAGTGGACAAGACCTCGCAAATATTCTGAATAGATGGAAGAGATTATGGGGAAGGAGTACAAAATGAATATAAACAAAAGAAAAACTAAAGTTATGGCTTGCAACAAGGATGGAGACGTGCATGCACGAATATCTGTAAACAACCGGATGATAGAGGACATATTTGGGGAGTAAGATCACTAAGGATGGGCGAAGCAAGAGAGAGGTAGGCTGCAGAATCAACCAGGCAAAAAATGCATTCAATATGAAGAAAAGGCTATTGACCTCGGATAATATCAGTGTTGAGACTAGGAAGAGGAGTATTGCGCTGTTTGGGAGTGAAAGAAAAGAAAAGATTGGTCTCCTTTGAGATGTGGTGTTATAGAAAAATACTGAAAATAAGATGGGTGGATAAAGTTATCAATGCTGAAGTATGCAGAAGGATAGGTGAGAATGGAAGCCTGTGGAAAATGTTGACTAAGAGAAGAGATGAACTGATTGGCCACGCCTTACGACACGAAGGGCTGTTAAAAACCATTATAGAAGGGAAGAGAAGTATAGATGACTACAGTACATAAAACAAATCATTGGCGATGTAGGCTGCCAGAGCTATCAAGAAATGGAAAGGAAGGCAGAAAGGAGATCGGAATGGAGAACTGCTGCAAACCAATCTTAGGATTTAATACTTTAGAAGAAGTAGTAGTTTATACTTAATTGAAACCAAATGAAAGTGGGGTTTTTTGTTGATAACATACTGCTTGGTGCAAAATAATTATTTTCCTTGAGCAATAGCAATGAGTGGCTCTTTGGATTTGATTGAAAATCATATAAATTGTGTAGGTCATTCCTAAGTGTGTGTTTAGTTGATATGCTACAGAGAAAAATATTTCCCATTTTGAATGTTAACATTAAGTATTTTATTTGTAATCAAATCACATTTTTTATCAGAAACTTAACCTGTAACAGTATTTCTCACAGTGGTACTTATCTGTCATTAAAGCTACAGTGAGACCAAAAAATCACAAAAGAAGAAACTGAAACAGTTTGAATTGGATGGTGTTCTTTAACTGTACAGGCAGACCTGCTGCATGTAGAAGCTGGCTTGTCAGAGCAGCAGAGGGACCTGAACCTGAGCTCTAAACATCTCCTACTCCTTACTGATTGTCTTCTCGAGTCACATCGCTTTGCTAAGGCCTTCAATTCAAATCTTGAACAACGGAACCTACTCTGGAAAGCAGGTCAGCAAATTATATTAAAATGCTATATTTAGATTTAAAACAGTTCCTTTGTTATCAGCTGTTACATTTTAGAAACATTCTGTATTTAGAAGTTTTAAATTAAACCTCTATATTAAAACATTTTACTGAGATATTTTTCTCATTGTCAACCAGATTAATGAAGTTCATTGATTGAAGCATATCAATTTAATCATGTATCTAAACTCTTATGGGGTGAATAGTTTGTATTTCATCTTCCCAGGTCATTGCAGATGCTATATTGAGGGTCCGTATGTATTGGAATCCATATATAGGACAGGCAATAGGTGGCAAGTGGGAGAGCAGGCTGCCTGCAGCCAAAGTTGAACATTTCTGTGTCTGCAGGTTTCAGATGTAATGCAAAAGCAAACCTTTTGAAGCAGGAGACTCAGAGTCTAGCTCGTGTACTTCGGATCCTGTTCAAAATGCACGGCGATGAAACGAGGCAGGACGCGTGGCCGACCATCCAGCAGCGCCTTATTGCGGTATGTAGCGAAGCATCGGAGTACTTTCTGTGCCTCCGATACGAGGCTCACCCTGATTCTTCTCCTCCTGGTCCTTAGAAGGACATTCAAGACATCTGATATCAGTGTAGGATAAAACAAAGCTGTCCCACTACATGCCATTGGGCGAGGAGATATAGCTCTTGCTCATTCCTGACTTTGGCACTAGATGGGGGTGAGTGGTCAGCATCACACCCCAGCCACACTTTTCTTCCGGGAAGAGGACCCCTAACACTCATTGGGTAGGAGGCTGAGTGGACCTCAGAGCTGGTGTGGATGCAGAGGCTGAAATGAAATTCCTTTGCCTCTGCTGGGCATTGAACCCCAATCTTATAGTCTCTATTCACACACTGCAATGACTGAGCTACCCTGGCTGCCATATTTTATAGAATATTCTGTTTTATTATGTCATTGAATGTATCACTTTAATTTTTGTGGTTTTGTGGCACCCAACCTGGTTTCATTCCCTCTGCTGGGCATTGAACCCCAATCATGTAGTCTCTATTCACACACTGTAATGACTGAGTATTTGTATCACTTCAATCTTTGTTGTTTTGTGGCACCCAACCTGGTTCCATTGCTGTTGCAGTTGCTGGATGCAGTCACTATATAAGAACTTTCAGTCTGAAAATTGTAGCTCATTTGAAATTGATAATTTTATTTATTTTCCAGTTTGCAGCTCATACATCCAGTTGCTATCCCCTCCTCTGTCAAATTACGTGTTTTGACTTGGAACCGGAACTTCGTCCTGTATCGCGCCGATTCTTTTCGCGTATCGGACCAGTTTTCAACATCGCGCTGGGAAGTCAGAAAGGGGGCGTACCGTGATGCTGTGAGACTGGGCGAACTTGTACTCGCCCATCAATCATTACCAGCTGGAACATCCAGAAAACTACAGTTTGGAGATGTCGTGCCCTTCACCGAATCTAGGTCATGATGTGAATGACAGAGAGGGTTGAGCCTGACCTCACAGCTTTAAAACATTGTTTGAAAGTTGATACTTTTTTTCTGCCTTCAGTTATTCATCCTTCCATCTGTGTATCAGACCTTTATGTCTTCAAGCTCTGTTCTTGTGTCGTTCTCTGCCCGGCGGACACACACGGACTCTCCGCCCCACTGCCTCATGAAGGCCTCGAAGCCAGCGACTCCAAAGATCGCGGAGATGGCAGAGATAGGTCACTCCGAGCCACGAGGCATGGCATTAACTTTTTTCAATTTGCCTACTCAATGTAGTAAGTCCCATCTTGAAAGTTTTCAACATTGCGCTGGGAAGTCGGTCAGGGAGCGTACCGTGATGCTGTGGGACTGGGCGAACTTGTACTCGCCCATCAATCATTACCAGCTGGAACATCCAGAAAACTACAGTTTGGAGATGTCGTGCCCTTCACCGAATCTAGGTCATGATGTGAATGACAGAGAGGGTTGAGCCTGACCTCACAGCTTTAAAACATTGTTTGAAAGTTGATACTTTTTTTCTGCCTTCAGTTATTCATCCTTCCATCTGTGTATCAGACCTTTATGTCTTCAAGCTCTGTTCTTGTGTCGTTCTCTGCCCGGCGGACACACACGGACTCTCCGCCCCACTGCCTCATGAAGGCCTCGAAGCCAGCGACTCCAAAGATCGCGGAGATGGCAGAGATAGGTCACTCCGAGCCACGAGGCATGGCATTAACTTTTTTCAATTTGCCTACTCAATGTAGTAAGTCCCATCTTGAATTTCCTTCAAAGAAACTCAGATATTCCCTAGGCCTACCTGAAAATGACTCGACGTTGCGGTAGCCGTGACGTCGATAGAGGTTCCCCGAATCAACTCAGTTTCGTCATTACCAGCTGGAACACCCTGAAAACTTCAATTTGGAGATGTCGTGCCCTTCACTGAATCTAGGTCATGATGATGTGAATGACAGGGAGGGTTGAGCCTGACCTCACAGCTTTAAAACATTGTTTGAAAGTTGATACTTTTATGCTGCCTTCAGTTAATCATCCTTCCATCTGTGTGAACTGAATAGTATCCACGTGCATCTAATGCAGGCATACTCTGTAAAAAATAAGTGGAATCACTACAATATGGCTGACACATTTCAGAAGGCCACGCTTGGAGTCGTTCTCTGCCCGGCGGACACACGCAGACTCTCCGCCCCATTGCCTCATGAAGGCCTCGAAGCCAGCGACTCCATATATCGCGGAGATGGCAGAGATAGGTCACTCAGAGCCATGAGGCATGGCTCAAAATTTCTACACATTAACTTTTCTCAATTTGCCTACTGAATGTAGTACGTCCCATCTTGGTTTTCCTTCAAAGAAACTCAGATATTCCCTAGGCCTACCTGAAAATGACTCGACGTTTCGGTAGCCGTGACGTCGATATTGGTGTCCTGCATCCACTCAGTTTGGATGTCAACGATCAACTGCCGGTCCTCTAACTTTCGTCGTATCATGATTTGAATTGTAACATTGGGAATCAACGAGCTTTCTAAAGGGAGAAACGCCACGAAAACTAAGCAGAAATGACACGTCCATGATTAGGTAATCGAGCCAGGAAATGAACTCTATTCCACGTGGAAACAAAGCACCGGGTGTTCCATGAGAACTAAATATTATTCACGTGCATCTCACTGCATCTAATGCAGGCATACTCTGTACAAAAATAAGTAGAAACACTACAATATGGCTGACACATTTCAAAAGTCCACGCTTCGCCACTGCATGCACGTACAATGGGAATTTAAGCCTGTTGGTGGAATACATTCAAACTGACACAAGGAAATGAAATGTACATCTTTGTAAAAATGTTTTGTGTTTATTTGCTCTCTGCTTAAATTCTAGTTACATACAGAAATTTGTATCATATTGGACTAAAGAAAGAAATCAGTAATGAGATACACTTAGCAAAGAAACTGTATTAATTATTTAGGATTTGAGGTTTTCACAGCAGTGAGTCTGAAGATTGCTGTCTTCTGGGTTGTTGCGCCGTGTAGTCTGGTAGATTTCCACCGACGTTTCAGAGGTCCTTGCTGCCTCCATCATCAGGGCTATGAATGTACACCGCTAGACCTGGCCAAAGCTCTCTTATTGGTCCCCACGCACTCCTGATTTGCTTTCATTGGCTAGGATCAAGCTACTCCGGTTACTGTCCAGTCCCTATAAACCTGGACCTTTCCGCTCGATTGGCACATTCATCGCCCTGATGACGGAGGCAGCAAGGACCTCTGAAACGTTGGTGGAAATCTACCAGACTACACGGCGCAACAACCCAGAGAGACAGCAATCTTCTGTGTTAATCATTTTTGCTAGAGCTTATAATATGTTGAAACGTAGAAGTTAGGCCGTTTGCAAGAGACGCATAGCAATTTATAGAAATTTTCAAAAGGAATTTACTTCCATGATTCACCTGAAGCGGATCTGGCGATAACCGTCCACGCCTACAGCTGATGTCCAAAGGTATGCTAGACAGTTATCATAAAATCTTATTGGTGTCAATCTTAACGGTGAGTGGAGTTCTATGTCAATATTCAGGTCCATGTTAGAGGATTCTGGAACATTAACTACGCCGTCAGGCGTATCAGTTTCGTTATGTGATGTAAAGAAATCCAGATTAAAAAAATCGAAAAGCTGAACGGTTGGAGATCTTTCCTTGTCGAAATTGAAGTCGCCTTTAGACCGTCTCATGCTTCCATAAAATAATAAATAGCCCTAATTCTGGTGAAACGGGTTGTAAAGAGAAGGTACAATGTATTTTAATGTTAACAAATCAGGTCCAGTTCTTTCTCGTGGTGAATATTCTCCAGGAAGAAATGGTTCCTGCCATCGATTAGTTGGCGCATGCACAGATATATCGATCTCGGCTCTTCGCTCCACTGATTAGGTTGAGCATGAGACGAAGGCAGGCAATTGAACCACGTTTAAGGCTTCCTGTAAAAATCATTGTGCCGTGTACAGTGCAGGGAATTGAACTGGGTGCAAGTTTAAAGCGACCTTGGGCTACGTCAAACGAAGGGGTCAAGGGGGACGAAGGAGCCATGTGCTCTTTTATCTTCCCTCCGACACCCGTACTCAGATTTCTGGATTCCAGAGAGATTTCTTTGTTTGTTTGTAACTGCAAAAGTCCCACAACAGTGGACAGTCGTTCATGGAGGTGGCGCTTTTACCGACATTCACGTGACAGTCAGCGAGGAAAATCTCGATCAAGAAAACCGTCTTCGCGTTGAGATTTGATATTTATTCTTGCTTACGCAAATTCACGCTCAACATCGAGCAAGGGGATTGGGAACAAACAGCAAGAATTGCTCGATCCAAGGAAGTGAACAGACGATGACGTGCGGCTGGGATAAACGTAGGTTTTGGTAATGTGCGTTTACGTAATTTGTGATCAAGCCTCCTTGCTAAGTTTCCGGATTACTTCTGACTAAACAAGTCGCCGTGACTGACGGCTTCAGTTTCAAGTTGAACAATAATTTATAGCAGGGCTAGAAAGACGCATTTTTACTGTAAAGCACTCAAGACTTCCTGTTTGTGCTTTCCTTCTGCTTGGAACACGGAAGATGGTATCCAGCATCCAAAAATATCGTAAGTATAATTCAGACCTGTTTAGGGGCTCCAGTTTTATAGCGGAGCATTTTACAAGCGACTCCGAGTGAGTGGGTTCAGTATTCTGACTTCGCCATTGGACCTAGCACTGAAAATAGGCCTTCTCAAAAATGTTCTGCAAAATAATAACAAAATATAAAGTACAGTAAAACCCCTCTATATTGGACACTTTTAATTGGAACCGGCGAATATCCTATAATTTTACATGTCCACAATATCCTATACCTTGGACACCCCTTTATCCTGGAACTTGGTCACCCCTTTTGTTGTAAGTTGGACAGGTGCAAGCATGCACTTAGCTTCAATGCTTTTATGGGAAACGTTTACAGTTAGTATTTTGTTATTTTGAATTTCTGACTGATGAATGTCTTCTACCTGAGGATTTGCTTATGGCTGAGGGTGTGAGACTTTGAACACATCATTGGAATGCAGTACGTATTGATGGTACAGTCTAAACTTTGTCAGTACAGTACAATCCCACTATAACGCGGGTCGCGGGGGACAGGGGTAAACCCGCGTTATAGAGTAACCGCGTTATAACGGGAGTGCATCAAAAAAATCGGTACAAGTACTGGACGTACTGTACGGCACGTAAAGTATTGATAGACTATCGCCATATAAGAGTATACATACTTATTTGACTATATTACGATTGATTTTTACGGAAAAAGTAATAAATAATTAATTTGGCTTGCATTTTAATATAATTTTGAGTTATGTGTGAAGGGTAATTGATGATTTTTTTCTTCTTTTGTTTCACTATGGGGGACATGAGGTACCCGTGTTATATCTGGAACCGCGTTATAGAGGAGTTGTACTATACTGTGCTTGCAACTGAGTTAAACAGTGTTAACAGAAATTACAGTAGTTAGATTTTGTAAGTAAATAGATTACATTGTCGGTAAACGTAAAGTATTGGTGCCCGTCCCTTTGAGCTTATCCATGCAAGTTTAATTTAGTGAAAACAAAATTTG